AACCGTTTTCTTTTAATTAAAAAAAAATGATGTTGATGTATGCTGGCTTGGGAAAGAATTATTTCTTTTAGGAAAGGAGATATTTGAAAACATCCGAGGTGCAGAATTATATTTTCTTTATATTTATATTTATATTCGTTATATTTATTATTTATATGTTTGTATTTGATTTGTAACCTGTAGTCGATATAAATTTTGTCAAATTTTCTCAATTACACCGCCCCATCTCTCTCCCCACCTCCCCCTTTCCTTTTCTCTCCCTCCCTCTTATTCTGATCTTTAACATTAGATCGTCTATGGTGTGTGTATGTCACCACGAAATGTATCTTTAATGTATTAGACATCCGACAACATGCATAAATCCCCCTTCCACTCACCTCTAGTTAGAAAAAACCCTCTCTGTTAAGTTTTAGTCTCCCACCTTCTCCGTCTATTACCCCTCTCTTTAACACTAACATTCGTCTCACAATCTCATACTTACACTCGCTCTAAATTCTATTTTTATTTCCGGAGTTTTTCTTTTCTGTGTTCTTTTTGAATTTGTAGGTCTGATGAATTGGATCGTATTTACGATTCCAATGGAATAAATTATGACCATGGAATATTAGTGTTTAAGCCTTTTTTATATATATATATATATATATATATATATATATATATATATATATATAACACTTTGCCTACGGAAACCAGGCTGAGAGAGAAGGTGATTCGTAAATGTCCATAGATATGCTTTTCTCATATATATATATATATATATATATATATATATATATATATATATACCGATCACACAACATCCTAGCAGTAGTGTCCATGGGCTACACACACGGTTTGACGGAAGCAAGGTTCAATCTGTCCCTCTATTTACCCATAGCTATAGGGCTAAAGAGATGTAGCACTTTGACTGATAGCAATCTATATTCCTATGTCAACAATCTCTCTCTCTCTCTCTCTCTCTCTATCAATATATATATATATATATATATATAGTCCTATGTCAACAATCTCTCTCTCTCTCTCTCAATATATGTATATATATATATATATATATGTGTGTGTGTGTGTGTGTGTGTGTGTGTGTGTGTGTGTGTGTGTGTGTGGCTAGAAGCACGTTAGGGTAATGGATGGCAGCTCAGATTGAGTAATTGTAGAGCAGAGTTCGAATTCCAGTTGGTAAAGCAAATAACGCATTATAATATATTATTACATTAATAGCTTTGAGTATGATATGAATCCATCTCCTCGCCTCCCACACTCCGTCACAAGCAGGACAGACTCGGTCCTATAACCTTGGGTAGTGTACAGTGTAGTAGAAGACAACTCTGCCGAGGGTAATTTTGGGACATTATTATTACTATGCACCAGTTTTCTGTATGTACTCAATTGTGAAAGTAGAATATCATTTATATTATTCCCAAGAAAATTTAATTTCGGTATTAAATGACCCATGAAGGAGTTGATATGCCATTAAAAAGACAAAACAATCTATCTGCAGCATGCTTGACAACTAAACCCGGTTCACTCACGAGCCTTTCTTGGTGAAGTGAGTGATAAAATACCGAGAAGGATTTAAGGCTGATGAATCTTCTCATAGGGTCAACGGTCATCTATCACAATGCAATACTCTGGGGCTCTATAGCTTTGGATGCAGCCAGTGATGATGATCATGGTGAGGTGGAGGAGGAATAGGAGGATGACAAGTTGATATTCCCCAGTAGTTTCCCATTGTAACTGTCATAAAACAAGTGACCTGCCAAAATAATGTGTGTTGTTTACCTTTGAAAACAGCCGTAAATAAATTCAATAAACATACCCTTCTTTTGCTTTCCCGTAGGCGTGATCTCAGAACGGTATGTCGTCAATGCAGCATTCTCAGTCGACAACGAAGGACTTTTTTTTTTTATCAACAGCTTTTGCTTCAGGTTACAAATTTACCTTCATCCGAAAATCCGCTTACGTCATAATATGCCGTCTGACGTCTACAGACAATGATTTCCACTACAAAATCTTGTATACATACTCAGGTATAAATACCTATTATATAAACTCGGTATCTATACTGACGACACAACCATTTATTCCTGTATTAATAGCAAGTACTACAAGAAATTTAAGCTGCTTGAGCGACTATCGTTATGGCTTTCAGAGAGAAAGCAGTGGCGCTGCGTTGGGCTCTTGCTCAATTTTTATATTTTTGAAAATATTTCTGGTACATTTTGATTTGTGATAATTCAGCTACGTTAAAACGTTTTCCCCCCAAATTTCGAGAAGTGTATTTGGAGCCTACATCGAGGTTATTTATTTTGAGTTTAGGTTTCGAAGAACAACTGTTGCAGGGACCCAGGTCGGCCCGGCCCAGAAAGAAAACATGTAATCTCTAAACAAGACAAGGAAGGACAAGGAAGGAAGATTCAAGACGTCCAAAATCCAACTACAGGGTGCCCAGTAAAGAAAAAAATATAAATTCAGAAATAAATTTATTTAGGTATCATGATTCATGTCCAATCTGAACAATAATCGTAGACGTTCGAAATGTTTGCCTGAATGTTCAAAACAAAGTTGTTAGCGTGGTAACCAAGAGGCAGTAGCTTTGTTGATAGTTCAAGAGGAATTTCATTCTAAGCTTTAGTTAAGTTCCACTTCAATGCATAAATATGAACGATGTCACGACGATGGTTTTATGTTAAGAGTATACCCCAGTTACATCCATAACATTCAGATCTGGACTTTTAGAGATGGACCAATGAGAGATAGTGTTTTTCTCGAAGAATAAATTTTCCGCTTTTTTACAGGGTACCCTGTATCTTTCCACCACTACCAAACAGACCGTGAGATTTCACCTATTATGATAGATGGGCGTTCCCCAATGGGACACGATCTCACCCCAGACCTGAAGTGGAACTCATATATACGATTTATTGTTAAAGATACTGGGAAATTGGCCGGTTCATTGTACTGCTCCAGTAATTATATGAATTCTTTACAAGAGACAGGTCAGATTAAAAATGTATTGCTATCATATCTGGGTTGGAATTGCCCAGTCCACACTTGCCTGTCTTGATATAATTAAAAAGCATCTACGTGGGCCTTGTGGGTGATGAATTATTTCCCGACCTACAACCCCTTTTCCACAAACGAAACACTGTAAGCCTCTCGCTACTCTATCGCTTTTTTAATAGCAAGTGTTCTGAAGAGATATATTATTTGGTTCTACCAAATCTGACATTAGCCACTTGCACCCGCCATGCGACGTACACAAGACTGAATGATCCTATTTCAATTTGTATTCCACTAATACGAAGACAGCTTCTTCACAAGAATTGTTACTTTGCGGAAGAAACTTCCGACAGAATGTATTCCCGGTCACTATAATCTTAATCTCTTCAATAGTGTTAATCGTTATCTTTCCTGCATAACCCCATGAACTGCACTTCTTGTCTTCTCTTCCACTCGTGAACACAACATATTAACCATCTACCTTGAGTGACTCTTGGGTCTTGTCTCATATTTCTGATGTTCTTTTTGTCTACTGTTTCAAAATCCTTTATTCTAAATATAGCACTGGCGAATAAGCTTGTTCTTACCTCCGTTCTAATTCATCGACTGCCGAGGAAGCGTTTTTGGAGTTTTTTCCTCATTGCTGTTTGGTGAAGAGAAGACAGATTGTGGTTAGTCGTTGATTGAGTTTCTAATGCAATTCGTTTAACGCTTCTGCTTTTAAAAGGTTTCTCGGCGCTATTACAACAATTTTAGAAACAGTTTTCCTCAAAAGAAAACAAAACATCACCTCGTCTAACTGTTGATCTTCATTCATTAGCGATTGTGAAAATTGTTGAACATGCTTGAAAGTAACACGAAAAAAAGCTACAGGAAACAAATCAATCAATCCTGAAAGACGCCAAAAAAGTGTAATGTGCAACCAATTTTAGTTCGTATATTGCTACAAAATTCTTTGTAAATCATATAATTTGTTTTTACCATGCAAAGTCATAAAATGGTATGTCTGAAAGTAAAAGAATAAATGGAATACGGAAGGAATGTAGTGGCTTGCTACTATGTAAGTGGTATAGAGGGTCCTAGCTAAAGGAACGAAGAAATGTAGTTCGTCCGAGTACTTTCCATGCAAGTATTGAGAAAGTGGTGAGAGACTCGCTACATTCCGCAGCGACAGAGAGGTTAGTGGGTGGAAAATAATTCTTCTCCAACAAGGACTCGGAGACGCTTTTAAACTCAAACCTGGGAAGTGAGGACTTAGCTGCTCTCGCCTAAAAATGGCAACAGTAATCCGATTTCGGTCTGATCTGGCTCGTGTAAAGGTAGAGGATAGCATGAGTCAGGTGCTTACTGGAGCCGTACAAGGAGTCTATCAAGTTACCTGCATCTTTAGTGATGGATCGTATGTACGAGTTACACTTGAGGTGAGGTGTGAATTTGAGGACCAATATTCTCTTCTTATGGAATGGTGCCTCCTCGAGTGATATAGACGACACTCAGTTTGATAAGGTTTTGATCTCGGGGACATGAATCACAGCCAAATATACGCGACATAAAATTATAAAATCACCATATAAACCTTGCAAGTGAGGCCGAGTTAAAAAAAAAAAACCCAAAAAACTCTTCAACAGGATTAACTCAGTTTGCTCAGACTTTCTTCTGTTGTGAGTGTCCTTAAGTATTTAGATGAGACTTCCAAGTTCCTTTACCTGGCTCGTGTTTTAAACATAAATAAAGTAACCCTCTCGACAGCAATGAGGCCTCTTTACCATTCCCACTTATGAACAGATATACATTGCATATTTGTCAGTTCCCGTCGCTACTATTGCCACCTTGTTGTCCTTTCTGTTCACCATTTAGCATTGACATCTCTAGAGTGGAGAGTCTTGAGTTTTTACATTTATTATTGAAAACATCGAGTTTTCACATAACTATCAATATTATTATTCCACTCAAACCAAGTATTATTGAAGGATATTAGAGACTCAGAATTTGAAGAGCAAATGTCTGGAGCAAATCGTAGGAAAAGAGGTCGTTGTCTACTCATTGTCTGTCATTTGGTTTCTGTCTAGAATGGGAGGAGCTAGTCCAAAAGCGGAATTCAGTGTTGTGTGCACGAATTAGAAAAGAAAATGGTTGATAGATATGAGGAGTTGAAAGGTTTGCAGCATAAACAACTGACTAGCAAATAACCCAGTATCAGAATTGATTTAGAAGGTTTTTCGTAAGTAGATTTACATCATCTCATGGACTGATATGAATAGATAGATAGATAGATAGATAGATAGATACGTACGTACGTATGTACGTACGTACGTACTGCATTAGATAGATATCGGGTGCAACATCATAATTGTGCATCCAACAAAATGATTAATATCTGAAAAACACTAAACTAATTGATTTTCTTTTTCCCATGTTTTCTGATAATAAGTTTAGCCATCTTGACACCATTTAAGAATCACTGAAAACTCCTTTGAGTTATTCAGCTATAAAGAGAACAGGTTAGAATCGTTTTGTGTCAGCGCAACTGTCTTCTCAAATGAGCATTAGTAAGAGGAAAAAGATCATTCAGGCCTTCAGTAACGGTACCAACATTCATACTTTGTCTTCCATCTTCAAAGTGCATTCAAGAACTATCAAGAGAACGGTGGATAAGTTTTAAATAGAGGGAACGGTAGATCGCGACAGGAAGAGGGATCATCATTTCAACTTAGAGCTAAAGACATCAATTAGAAAAGATCCAAGTTAATTCATAAGACGTTTGGCATGTGAGATATAAGTTTCAGCTACGACAGTTCAAAGAGCAGTGAAAATTATCCTGGAATATATATATATATATATATATATATATATATATATATATATATGAACTTAATTTCCATCTTTCATGAGCTTCCGATCCTTAGATCCGATTAATTAATGATCATTTTCGCTTATGATCGATTTCATCACGATTCTTCTGTTAAGCTTGGAAAATAATTAGGCATTCTTTTTGCTCAAAGTCGAGCCCAATAATGTTATAAAATCTTGGATATCTTTAATCATTTCTAGGATACAACGTTTCAAATAATAAAAATCTAAGGTAGTCAACATTTATGCAGTTGTTCTTAACAACAAAGGCGAAAAACAGTGAAAATGAAAGATTTACACAATCAATCATTTGAGAATCGAAACATTCAGCTGTTAATGTAACCAAAAGAAATGATGCCGTTTTTTATTTATTCCACTATTCAGAAAGGTTCTACCCATGCGTGAAATATATATATATATATATATATATATATATATATATATATATATATATATATATATATATATATATATATATAACTCATACAGGAACATCTCATCTGACCCAATGTTTTGTCACTTTTTGAGAGAACGAATATAAATTCAGTGTTTTCGTCTTCCTCTTTCTAGGTACGTGTATATTAATGTCCGTGAACATCGATTTGTTTATCAAATGAAACTAAGATTCATTTTCTAGTCGACACTTTTTGTCATATTTGTTTGAATTCTGCTTCATTGTCAGTATACTACTGTGTGTAGCGTTTGCCTCAAATCAAAATTTTTCCAAATCTTGTTGCAGGCACACCGATACTAACATTACTCATGTATATAACAATCATACTAATTCTTAACGGTTGCTGTGTTTATTTGCTTGTAAAATCCGAAGTAACAAATAATCAAAAGATTTGATTGATTCATTTTTACAGATTATCAAATTTTTGCAGGTTATTTAATACCAGAAAATACTTTTAGACAGTAAGAATGCTTTTGGAGATAATAATGATACAGAATTATGCTTACAATGCCAAAAATATTTTTCGGATTAAATAAACCATAAAGGATTAGTTAAGTTATAATAAAGAGACACGCACAATAATCTCTCTCTCTCTCTCTCTCTCTCTGTCCTTCCTTACAATCTCTCTTTGGCGCTCTTTTTATCTTTAGTTTCTCTCTCTATCGCTCTATCTCTCTTTCTCGCAACCTCCCTATATCTTTTTCCGTCTTTATCTTTTCCTCTATTTCCTTTCTTTCAATTTTTCTTTCTCCCTATCTATTTTTCTCTCAAGTTCTTATTTCTTCATCTCTCTATCACCCCCTCTCTCTCTATTTCTTTCTCTATCTTTATCTTCCTTCCCATCTTTATTTCTCTCCTTTCTTTCTCTTCTTCTTTGGATCTCCTTTTCCATCTTTATCACACTCTTTACCTCTATACCTCTTAATCTCTCCCCTTTTCATATTCCTCTTTCTAAATATATCTCTCTTTCTCTCCCTCTTTCTACGTTCTTCTCTTTGCAGCTGATTTTATCTTGGTTTCTTTCTCTTTTGCATACTCTCTATCTCTCTCTATCTCAAGTTATTCCCATTTTTGCTTCTCTCCCTATCTTTTTTTCTCTTTAGCTGTCTCTCACATTCTCCTACGTCCTCTCTTTCCGTTTTTATCACATTCTTTCTCTATCTCTCATCAGTTCTCTTCCGTTTATATCTCTCTCTCTCTCCTATTTTATCACTTCCCCTTTCTGTTTTCTCTCTCTTTCTATCTCTTTAGCTCTCCCTCTCTCTTTCCGTACACAATCATAAGTTTATTAACTGTTTAGACAACGATCCTACAGTAACTAGTGCTTACACACAGGCCTAAAAGACATTCATTTGATTAAGTTTGTTTTAAATAACTTGAATTGGTAGCTGGGAGTTAGTCACCTATGAGAAGAGGTTCAAAACGTAAACTAAGTTATTGATGTCAATAGTCGTATATATCGCAATGTGTTCTTATACGATCGCATGTTCTAGTTCTTGTAGAAAATCCTAAAATATTTCTAATCCTCTCAGAGAACCTGTTTTGCCTTCTCTCATTATGGCTACCTTATGCTACCATCCTGAAGAATAAATCACTGTGCCTTCTTTGCCAAACATTTGTCACTGATATTAGTTGAAATGATTATATCAAGTCAATTGCTAGTTTACTGAATTGGACTATACAATTCTTCTCGCCATAGTCTATTCTGCACTTACTATTATTCGTTCGTACGTTGAATATTATTGTTATATCTTGTCTGATGCTTTTGTTTGCATCTAGAGATTCTTGGCAACATCCAAAGAATAATCTACAATGTTATGGGTCTTGATCTGGTATCTTGGTATCAATCAGTTTCTCATTGCTATAACGTAGCTTCCTTGTGCCTTTTCTATAAGTATTTTCATGCTAATTGTTCTGACATGTTTTCTTCTTTGGTACCTGGACTTCATGAATTTAAGCGCAGTACTAGAATGGCAAGTCGGTCTCATCATTTTACTGATGAAATGGTTAGATGTAACTGTAAGTTCTATGCTAGCAGTTTTTTTCTCTTACACTTCTCGCCTGCGGATCTACCTTCCAGCTTTTTGCTTCCCAGTCAAATTTGATCTTCAAAAATCTAAATGCAACGTTAATGGTCATTTTTTTTTCTCATTGAATCCTGTTCTCTTTATTGTCGTGTCTCATAAATAATGTCTTTTCAGTTTCTTTTACCCTCAGTAACTCCTTGTATCTTAGTGGCTTTATCACCTTGATTAGGGTGAAATGGAAAAATGTTTATTTCTCTCTAAGATGTTCTGTTGTGAGTTGCTGTTCAGAAACAGAAACATTTTATTTTAATCATAGAATTTTTTCAGCTTCCCTATTTCGTCTTATTATTGTTGATGCTTATCGAGAATTTTAGATTGATTTATTTTTTGAAGTCTACAACTATGAATTAAGCAGAATTGTTTGGAAAATACAGAAAAAGGTTTTAAAGTTAAAAGGCAGCCGCTCAGATAACGAGTAACGAAGTAAAAAAGCATATCAAAGTAAAACGAATGATATTCCTCTATTGCCGATCGGACCCAGAACTTTCACTAATCGCGATGAACGGATATTCCCCTCTGGGAGTTTTTATTTTTTACTATTCCAAGCCTAATAGAAAAAAAAATTAAATTTAAAATTAAGTTTTTAAGACGAATTTAAAAGGAAGCTTGTAAATTTCCAAATGATGATATAATCTTCTAAATAAATAAACAGCCATTTCTGTCTGTCGGTCCATGTGTCTGAAACTCTGGCCAACTTACTCTATATAGACATATTATACCTTATGGGAATCAGGATGGTCCCGGGATTGAAAATCCGCCATTCATCTTGAATATCCAGCACTAGGATTTATGTTCGGATGAGCGGGAACAGTTAAAAATTCATATTTTAAAATTACTGAAAAAAATAAGGATTTTAAAAGTGTTAATTTATATTGAGTTTAAAGTAACATAAAAACTTTGTGAATTTTTAATTTCACAAAATTTGCTTTAAATTTACTTTAAAATATCTCAAAAACTTCAAAAGGCCAAGTTACCAGAGTTAAAGTGAGAGGTCTCGTGCTTGAAAGTTCCACAGAGTTTGTGATTTGAGAACTCCGTTTTCGGCCTGAATTGAAATTTTGACCGGAATCAAAGTTTCGACCGAGAACGATCTTTTAGCAGAAATTGGACGTATGGCCCCAATCAGAGTTAATGTGAGGTTTCGAAGATTCATGGAATGAATTGAGGAAGAATTCAAAGTTATTTCTTCTTAATTGCTGTTTTGTAAGTTCGTACAGAGTGCGGCTTTTAAGCTTGTGTAAAATAAAATTAACCTTTTAAGACAAATAGAAGACAACGTGAGATACTTCTAGATGTTAAAATAAAAATAAATCAATAGAAAATCAAAATGAAAACGGTCGCTTGTGAATTTAAAGCGAAGTTTATAAAATAGTTATGTGTTAGTTTCACTTCCTCGTCACCAATTACTATTCAGTTATGTGACGCATCGGCCAGTTAGTGTATAGGGAACAGTTTTCGGATGGACGCCTCAAAAAGAAGATGCTTGATATTTCTGATTTGTAAGTCAAGACAGATTTGTAGCATCCACTAGCTTTCCTTTTCAAGGTTGGAAAGAAGACACGCAATAAATTTCTGAACTTTGTTAGAATGTTCTTCTTGTAAGACAATAAAAAGCACATTTACATTCTTCCGACTTTTTCCTAGGCGTCTTTATTCTTTTATCATACATGTTTAGGAAAATACCTGTACTGTACCGGCGCCAGATACTACCAAGGCCTCCCCCTATACATTTAGTAAACCCAACAATAGCAAACAATGAAAGAATGTTGTAAATATGAAATCAATTTTCTGGAGAAATACCAAATACATCTTAAAGCAAAGAACCAAAAATGAAAAAAGTTTGTAATTTTAAATCGAAGTTTCCAAAAATTAATACTAAACAAAGACAGAATCTAATAAATTTAAAATTGAGCTTTTATGACAAGTAGGAAAAACAAAAAAAATGCCCGTAACTGTGAGCATTTTACGATAAATTCTAACAACGTATTCTTAGAAATTTAAAAAGGAAGACGAATAACAAACCTCGAACGAAGGAAATAAACTCTTCTCAGAAGGAAATAACAAAGAAAAAAGAGTTTATAAATTTGAAGATTTTAGACAAACAACCTTGACACTTTAAAATCTATTGGTCCGGACAAAATCCTTGCAGTTGTACTTAAGAGCTATGTTTCGCAAAAATTGTTTAAACGCTGCCTGTATGTAAAATGTTTCCAAAGTCTGTAGAAATTATAATCTATTTGCTTTGTTTTCAAGAATTCAGATCAGCATTCATCTTCGTCACAATATCGCCCAATCAGCCTTCTTAGGTGTCATTAGCAAACACTTTGAGTATAATATCAACAAGGCGCTAGTTGCTCAACTCACCAGAAATAATTCACTAAACAACAAACAATATGGACTTCGCACCTCTATTGTCATTACATACAGAATGGCAAGAATTAACTTGTTAATTTTAACACCTCCAAAACAAAGCTACTATCTTTTAATCGTCATTTCTTTTCTTTCTTTTTTTTTATCTTACATCAGTCTGTGGAGAGTGACTCATTATAACTTCTCGAGTCAACGTTTTCCGCTGACATGAATTGGAACGAGTGTATTGAATTAATTAATAGGTCTGCTACTAGGAAAGTAGGTTCACTGCGTTGTGCTAGTCCATGTATTAAATATTTCTGCCACATCATTTCTGGGGCTTCTGATATATATTTAGAGATACAAAATCCAAAGAAGAATCTGCCATGTTATTGGTTCTAACCTGACATCTCGTCTTCAGTCAATGAACCACCGCCGTAACATAGATTCCATGTGACTTTTCTATAAATACTTACATGGTAATTGTTCTGATGAGCTTTCCTTTATGGTACGTAGACTTTATGAATTTAAGCGTAGTACTAAATTGGCAGCTCGGTCTCATCATTTTACAGATTAAATGGTTATATGGAACCGTAAGTTCTGTGTTAACAGTTTCTCATCTAGCAATTCTCGCATGTGGAACTCTTTCGGCTTCTTGCTTTCCAATCAACTTTGATCTTCAAAAATTTTACATGCAATTCCACCCGCCATCTTCTGTCTCCTTGAATCCTGTTCTTTTATTGTCCTCTCTTCTTAATAATGTTTTTTTTTTTCTCAGATTCTTTCACACTCAATAATCCCTGGTATCTTAGTAGCTTTATCACCTTGCTTGCAAGGAAATGATTAAAAAATAAATAAAAATAATTTATTAAGAACATTGTTATGTAAAGTTAATGTCAGAATAAAATTCAATAAAATGTAAACTAATATGTTTAGATATTGTAAACGATATTTATAAAACATTAACTTTAACTTTGCTGCATTTTTTCAATCTTTTTTTCTATTTCTACTTCTATAATTATAAAAAAAACTATATTTATGACTAAATAAGTCAGCATAACAATAGTTACTTTATTTCTAAATAATAAAAATAAAAAAATTACTTCCCTGTTTATTTTCTTTCTTCCCAAATTTATACTTCCGATATGATTTTTCTTATATTAAAACTGTTTTAATATGGATAATTCATTCAAAGATTAAAATGTAACATATAACATTTAGTACACCCTTGTTAGTGGACTGGTAGTGATGGTTAGTAATCGTAATAAGAACTTAGTCAATAAAAAATATACCAAGATGAAGAGGAATAACTATTCGATCCAAATTAATTATTATCTTGAGAACGTAATTGCTTATCTAGGTATACAGGGTGCGATGGGTAAATTGTCGCCATTTTATATTTTTAATTTCGCGCATGCGTGTTATTTGTTTTTGATTTTGTCGTCTGTACGGAATAGCAGGGTCAGTTGTGCACCGCCTGTGAGAAAAAGAGCAGCATGACTCAATTTACTTCTCCAAAAATTTGGAAACGACATGCGGTACTGCTTATCATTCTCGGCGGAAGTTCAATACGAACATTTCAGAGTGTTTTGGTGTCAATCTGTGGACATTGCAGAAGATTTGTAAAGAGTTGGATGAGTCTAATGATGATTACGAAGGCACGGCAGCTCGGAAAAACAGATCGTTCTGAGAAGAAAAGAATTCCCGAATATATTGGTGAGGGTCTCAGACGGAGGCCCTACATCAAGTGTTTTGAGAAGTTAGTGCTGTCTTGGTTCAAGAGGGTGGCTGCTAGAAGACACTCTGTCTGGCAACATGACTGCACCATGCCACACAAGCAGAACTTA